ATCAGCTTTACACTGTTCAGCATCACTATTCTCCCATAATGACATAATATACCCCTGAGTCTGTTACTATGACTGACATTGTCACTTACAAAAGCAACAATCCACTCCGTTGTAGTATGTTAACATCCATCAACCAATAGACATTACTTAGAAGTTGAAGGATGACAAAGCAAGGCTGACAACGGTTTAAGGATCTATACTGAAACGTTGCCTTTACAGTAAATATGGAAGTTGTTAGCAATAAATCATGTCTACTTTGCCATCAACCAAGTAACAGATTCAGACCGCCTGATAAATAACCTCTCACGACCAGCGTAAGTTACTGGGTACCAATTCTATCCTGGAATCAGCACAGGTAGATCGATCAGGAGTAGGAACATCTTGACCAGATCATGGTCGATTGAATTAACAAGGTATTAATAAAATGTTTCACTTGTAAGCAAGGTATAAACATTGTTGTACTTTATATACACTTAATCATATATCACAGCTACAAATGATGAGAAACCTAAACACATAGAGACATTTAACAAAAGAAATTCAAATTACTTAAAGTATTTACTTCAATACAAACACATAGTTATGTAAAAGTTAGAAAGAATTATTCTTAAGTTTGGAAACAACAAATATATTTACAGTTGTCAATGCCAGACAGAACAGATCATGGGATGACAAAATAGGAATTAATTGTTTATTTAAAAAATAAGGCAATTTTGGCAACACTGATCACATCTGTGAACACATTCATTATTACAGGTACTTTCCGGGATGAGAAACATTATGTCGCAAGTAAAACAACTGCATCAAATAAGTTCATGAAACCTGTGAAGAGTGAGTGAGTGAGTTGGGTTAACGCCGCTTTTAACAGTATTCCAGTTATATCGCGGCGTATCAGCTTAATGTGGGAGGAAAGCCCAAAGTGAAGCAAGGTGAAACCCACAAGCACGGGTATGGTGCTGACAAACCTAGAACATAATCGGCGCGACCGGGATTAGAACCCACAATCATATGTTTTTGGCATGCCCAAGGGTCGCAGCTCTGCACAGTGATCATGGTGCCTTAGAAAACTTGGCCACCCGTGCCCCCAAACCTATGAACAAACAAGTGTACCAAAGTGATCAAGAGGTTTATTGTAACCATATTACAAAACATATTTGGAATAATCTTTCCTGAGAGAATTAACCCAAAGTAACTTTCAGGGGCAGTGGGGTAGCCTAGTGGTTAAAGCATTTGCTCATCACTCCGAAGGCCCAGGTTCTATCCCCCATGTGGGTACAATGTGTAAAGCCCATTTCTGGTGACCCCCGCCGTGATATTGCTAAAAGCAGCGTAAAACAATACTCGTTCGCTGGTAACTTTGAACACTATTTTATGAGGGGCAGATAATTGGATAAAACTCCAAGATGCAAGTAGGTTATTCTATATATTACCTATAAATGTTTTTCTGAGAACATGTTTCCTGATCACAAGTGGAGAATCAGCTCAGTCAGTCGAGTGTTGGGGCAACGTCATTGTAATGTTAAGTGAGAATTAATGATTATAATTTCACAGACATCTTTGTCCCTATTGGTAATATATGGAGGTGATCCTGCTTCTCTGGACTTCATCACACAGATATTATACACTCAACTACTTCAATGTCAACATAATCAATAATAATATAAACATCAATATTTTGATTTTTCCTTATTAAATACAAACTGAGTAAACATTATTGCAAGTTGACAACCAACTCCTTAACATGCCATTTGAAGGTTGAGGTGTGTGGGTGTCTGCTTCAACTCATCCAGCTCATAGTGCCATCCCACTGAGATACCATGCTGCAATTTAACATGCATACCCCAGTCAGACACAGTATGCTGACTCCGAGCCGACCAGTCCTTGTTTTAGCCCGTTAATGCCGAACGCCAGACAGGGAAACAATAAGTACCATCTTTTAACATCTTTTGGTATGATGTGGCGTTGGATCAAAAACCCAACCTTCTGCTCTCCAGGCTAACACTCTATCCACTACACCACGGAGGCAGTGTTCTGTTTTGTGTATTGGTGCATTTTCATAAGATTCTTTATGTCTGGAAATCGTCAATCATCAAGGATAAGCGGTTTCATATCATACCCAGTGAATTCCTTCAAAGTTTGTGACATATATGGCAAGTTGCAATTCCCGATACATTTGGCCAACCAACAATAAGAGATAGAGATTTTGAAATAATCTCAGAAGAGTCAAATCCTTCTAATTCATCCCAACAGATATCCTTAATCATGTTAATACAAACAGCATGTCAAAACCCATTTTATTATTCAGAATGAGAAGCAAACATACAAAAAAGGCCATTGCCAAGATAAACAGTTCCAACACAATAAAATACTATAATGCACTTGATCTCAATAAATAATCGATCACAGCATAAACAACAAGCACAATATCTCTCAAAACAGCCATTACAACCAATCACTTATTTATATACATGTACTAAAATGTAGTTTTCGACATCATGATGACTTGAGCAACAGTACACAATAAAATAAATGCCACTGGTTCCCTGGCAGCGCTTGTCCGACTTAACAGGCCTGCATGACATCATTTCATGATTTTCTTATAGAGAGCATAGAAACTTGTTCAGGCAACTAACTCACACCCTCAAGCTACAGAGTGGCTGCTCTTACCACAGCAACTCCTTTAAAGTCATTGACAGAGAACCAACAGTGTATATTTTTCAGACTTCCGTGGAATGAGGGGACACCTGTACGAAACTTGATGGTCCACAACCGTTCCAGCTGTATGTTGTGTAGACATATGAACATTGTCAAAATAGAAAACTACATCTTGAAAATTTATTGTTACTCGGGCAAATTGAAAAGCAACAAAAGAACATAACCTTTTTATAGCATTTGGAAACATAAGTTATATTAAACACTGTTAAAATGCCTATTTAGCATGTTTAAGTTAATTATATTTTTAAATTTTTTTTTATAAATACTACTCAAAGAGGTTTTCATAGGTGCTGAAACTGGTGGTAGTCGATGGACGCGCCCTTGACTAACTCCCTCACTAGTGTGAGTAGAGATAAACATCTGTCATTCTTAGTACCGGTTACATTATCCACTTTTAACATGCAGGGAGTACTCACAAGGCCATTCATACATACTGATAATCTCCAAATTCAAACAGCTAGGTGAGGTGAAATTGGGTTTAACGTCGCATCCAAGATTATTGCACTTATATAGCGACGTGCATGCACGTGTGTGTGTGTGGCTGCTTGTACTAGTCCAGACTGATGCCGATTTATAGTGCTAGCCCACTTTATATACCATGCCACAGTTTAACATGAATACCCCACTTAGACACAGTATACTGACTCCGAGCCGACCAGTCCTTGTTTTAGCCCCTTAATGCCGAGCGCCAGACAGGGTAACAACAAATACCATCTTTTAATGTCTTTTGGTATGACGCGGCCAAAGGTCGAACCCCAGACCTTCCGCTCTCCGGGCGGACGCTCTACCACTAAACCACGGAGGCTGTCTTCAACTGGCTACAGAACAGGCCAAATAATATACAAAAAATAAATATAAATAACAGCTGCATTTCACACATTGTGTAACTTATTTTATGACAGTTTAAAACACTTGGTATCAGTCTTAAAAATAATATATGATTTAGATCCAGTCGCTTTGCTTCAGAAATAATTTTTTAGAAAACCTAGCTGAAGAAAGATCAAGCTGAGCTGGCTTTTTATGATTGTGCAATGGAAGTTGTATTTTGTTTATCACATTGGGGCATAATTTTGCATGGCGGCAGGGAAAACTGAAAACGAAAACTTTTAATTATTTCATGCCTGAATGAAAACAAGAAAACAGAGTTATCACTATCCCCCGCCATAGGACACATTAGAATTTTGCTTGTTCATAAATTAGTAGTGAACATAAACTATACAAAAGAGTCCTATAAAGCCTTTAAAAGGGACAGCCACTTTGGCGACTTAAAGTCATTAGAAACAAGTATTTGTCACAGAGTGACGAAATATCCCCCGCCATATACACCATAGTGCCAAATATGAAGACAGTCCAGCGATTAGTTCTTGAGATATTGTGGCAACACCGTTTTCCAACTCCAAAAACAGATTTGCCTGCTGTGACCTTGAAAATGGGGTCAAGGTCACCAAATCTGACAGGTGTATGCGGTGTCTGTATATACACCATAGTTCCAAATATGAAGACAATCCAGCGATTAGTTCTTGAGATATCGCGGCAACACCGTTTTCCAACTCCAAAAGCAGATTTGCCTGCTGTGACCTTGAAAATGGGATCAAGGTCACCAAAACCGACTGGTGTCTGCGGAGTCTGTATATACACTATAGTTCCAAATATGAAGACAATCCAGTGTTTAGTTCTTGAGATATTGCGGCAACACCGTTTTCCAACTCCAAAAGCAGATTTGCCTGCTGTGACCTTGAAAATGGGGTCAAGGTCACCAAAACCGACTGGTGTCTGCGGTGTCTGTATATACACCATAGTTCCAAATATGAAGACAATCCAGCGATTAGTTCTTGAGATATCGCGGCAACACCGTTTTCCAACTCTAAAAGCAGATTTGTCTGCTGTGACCTTGAAAATGGGATCAAGGTCACCAAAACCGACTGGTGTCTGCGGAGTCTGTATATACACCATAGTTCCAAATATGAAGACAATCCAGTGTTTAGTTCTTGAGATATCGCGGCAACACCGTTTTCCAACTCTAAAAGCAGATTTGTCTGCTGTGACCTTGAAAATGGGATCAAGGTCACCAAAACCGACTGGTGTCTGCGGAGTCTGTATATACACCATAGTTCCAAATATGAAGACAATCCAGTGTTTAGTTCTTGAGATATCGCGGCAACACCGTTTTCCAACTCTAAAAGCAGATTTGTCTGCTGTGACCTTGAAAATGGGATCAAGGTCACCAAAACCGACTGGTGTCTGCGGAGTCTGAATATACACCATAGTTCCAAATATGAAGACAATCCAATGTTTAGTTCTTGAGATATCGCGGCAACAAACAGGTGGGACGTACGGACGGACGTACGGACGGTCGTGAATACTATATCCCCCGCTTCGCGCTTTCGCGCGGCGGGGGATAATTAGAGTGGGTGGAGATTGGAAAATCAGAAAAAAAGACATGGATACCCACGAAATGTTGATTGTTAACAAACCAGTAAACAAACATATGTACAGTGACACATATATGTTGTCTTCCAAACACAATCTTAAAACTATTCAAAACTATTTACATAAGAAAAGGTCCATATTTTTTTTATACATCTAAATTGAAAACAGAAATTATTTTCTGAATGTGTGTGTTGCTGTGACCTCATGAAAGTGTGTTGTGGACATACAACTACCTTAAACCCAAACAAACTGAACACTGGCATAATTTCAAACATCACAATATAACAAGTCCAATAACACATGGACAGCACCTACATCGCTATGGAAACATGCATGTAAAATATATCATGAATGAATAGGAATATAGTCCTCCTCATCAACTATAAGATCAGGAAATGAAACTCTGATTATTGACAAAACTACTTTGGACAGAATATAGCATATTGAAATGCCCAGTTACCCCAGCGGTCAACCTTGGCTGTGACCGTTCACAAAGCGCTGGATCAACATTTTCAGCGTTCTGTTTGGTGTCAGATTATTACTTGGTAGCACAGAGTTGGTCATTGGGCTCCGATCCTTGCCGCTCTCAATCCACGATTTGATTGCTGCTTTATCGTATGTGTAGCCATCTGAAGATGATACATTGAAATAATTTTAGAAGAGAAATAGTATCTAAAACATTGTAAAATAAGTAAGTTACTTTCTAATACTTACTGAAATTATTTACACACCTGTCAACTCACACTTTTTCAACAAAACTCACCCTCTCTTTCTACACCTCTATGTTAAGACAGCTTACAAAAAAAAGTTTCAATCAGAGGGCGCCCAAATACTGGGCAAAATGGCTACAATCATTTTCGGTCCCCTACAACCACTACCAAGGCTTTGCCCTGGACCCTGGCCAATATACATCTCACTCATTGAACACTTTTGGGGTTGGCAGCTATGTATTTGTAATAGAAGAATGGTGAAGACTAATAATGTCTCTTAATGGTAACTATACTTGAAGACGTAATCATTTTTGGATAACTTGTTTACTATTTGTCACATAATATCCACGCTTATCAAAGACCCGGTGGTCTGTTTGTCAGTGTTATTACCCTACGAATATTTTACACTATGCTTGGTCCTTTTTGGTATTTTTAATTCCTACACTCATATATAAAGATTATTATAAGAGCATGTGCGTCATACTAATTTTAAGAAACGAGTGTCAGAATTCTTGTATTTCCCAAGCAAGAGCGAGGGTAATACATGAATTCTCACACAAGTTTCATAATTCATAAAATCAGATGACACATATATGAGTGTCATAATTTCTTAATCCTTTTGAGCTCCCCTTTAGAAAAATGCACTGATCACCACAGCTATCCTAAAAAAGCACAATTTGTCGAATGATGTCAACATTGCCGTCCAGATGACGAAAACAATACATTGGTGCACAAGAAGTGATATTTGCACTAGTTCACATATGATGTTTATGAACTCGGTTATTTCAAACCCTAAGGGTAATAAAGGAACATATGACAAAATAATCATCATCATCATCATCATAAGTTATTTGTTTCAGTCTTAGAGTTCAGAAAGGTTTGCCTGTGTCTCACCTGTGGCAATGACTGGGTCGTGCATTATCTCCCTTGTGATGGGACACAGGTACTCGTCCGGGACTCCAGCATCTGCATCAATCAGGACAATTAGTTTCTCTCTTGTTAATTAAATTACTTGTATTTTATCTCAATAGATAAGCAAAACATGAAACTTTACATTCATATCCTGATGTTTTAGAAAAAAATTAAAAAAAGACTTTTCATATATATTTTTCTTAAAGCTGTCCTTCTGAAGTGTTCCTTAATCTTGTTTCATTGATCTTGAAAACTGCATTTGACATGCTCGATATAATATGCAAATAGTGATTTTCTGTTCTCCACTCTCATACTGAATGCCCACAAGACCACAATGAGTTATCAGTTTATCTTAAGATTTTTGTTCTTGGGCAGGGGACAATGGTCATCTTCATCACTTGTACACCTACCATTTTCTACTGTCTGGCCTATAGGACGCTCTTGTACATGAGCGCGACTCCTCAGAATCTTGTTCCTGTGACCAAGGGCACCTAAAACATGGAACAAAATGTTCCCAATTGGAACTATCTACAGGCCATCCTTTGATACTGCTTTCATAGTGAGTGAGCATGGTTTATGGTTCATGGTTCATGGCTTAGCGATATTTCAGCATAATCAAGGCAGGAACACAAGAATTGGGCTTCACACGTTACATCCAGCATGACAAGCCAACGCCTGCAGTCATAAAACTGGATTTCCATATCATCAGTGGCTTCATCCTTTATTATAAGTGACCCATGAAGATCCAGGTTAGAATAGGTCTTCAGCAACCCATTCTTTTCGTAAGAGGCGACTAATGGGAAAAGGTTGTCAGGCTCACTGACTTGGTTGATGCATGTCAAGATATCCAAATTGCATGGATCAATGTTCATGAATTCAATCACTGGACTGTCTGGTCCAGACTTGATTATGTACAGACCGCTGTCATAAAGCTGGAATATTGCTGAGTGTGGCATTTAACAACAAACAAAAGCAAAAAATTATTTTAAGTAAGAAACTTGTCATTTTTTAGTGAAAGGTGTGAAAGATATATTTTATCCATGAGTGTAGAAAAAGGATAACTCCCCCTAACCTGTCATAATTTTCAAATTACCCCCCTTTCATACTGACACACCACACTGATGCAAAACTGCAAAAGTAATTTTTCCTGAAGATCCCACAAGCATGATTACTTGTTCCAACATTGAAGCTGTCTTTTTCTTCACAAACCTCTTCCTGAACATGCTTTTTGTTTTTTAATTACTGCATTTGCCATATTAAGGGTCCTGATAAATGTTCATTCCAAATTTTAATTACAACCAGCTGCAGTTTTACTAACGTTTGTCCATGTGAAGATCAGGCTAAGAATGTATGTCCCCAGAAACCCATGCTTGTCGTAAGAGGTGAGTAAATGGATCCAGTGGTCAGACTCTCTGATTTGGTTGATGCATGACATTGTATCCCAAATGTGTAGCTCGATGCTTATGATGTCAATCACTTGGTTGTCTGTTCTAGACTTGATCATATACAGACGGATATCATACAGCTGGAATATTGTTTAATGTGGCATTAAATTTAAACAACAAACAAACAATTATATTTTAATAAGATATTTTCCTGCAAATGACATGCGATAGCCTACCAGTTGCACAGTGTACTAGCAGAATACCAACTCACCTATTCCCATTGACTCTTCAAGATCCTTGGCAGTAAGGGCAAGTAACTCTGTCCCATCTATTGCCTGCTGCCTGAACACTTCCTGGTATTGCTGCAATCCAAGGGAGGTAACCCAAGCACACACATCCTCTACACCCCACTTCTCAACAGACACAAAGCTTGCTGCTGAAGACTGCTGTGTCTGCTTCACTGGTTCTTCAAATCCAGACAGACCAGCTGCAAGACATGTTGACATTTAGGTTTTGTGCATCATGTACATCTAAATTTAATTATACATTAATTTACACATAAAAGTATTTTTATGTTTTTACCCATGCATTTTGAATCATCGTCCTAGATCAGTGTTACATAGATCTACATGTCCCATGCCACTCTGAAATAATTGCGCCACTGTTCCATTCACTACCATCATTACGTAATGTGAACCTCAGCAATGAATATCTGTACAATGCTCTTTCCTAGTACGCGGGGTCGGTTTCTTGGAGCCCGATGACAGCGGTATATCGAGGGATCACTGTAATATAAATTACCCAATATCATTACTCTTTCGCAATAAGGAGTTTCAAGTGCAAAGATAACAGAGATCTGACTTATGCCATGACGGCGAGTTATTTTTTTATAGTTGAGCACCACTGTAGCGTAATACATGTAGATGGAAAATTTTCAAATTGTCACAAATCAATACAATTCAATTTTTTTAACATTCAAGGTAAGAAAGAGTGACTCAGATGGGTTAAAAGCCTCTTTGAACATTATTCCAGTTCTATAACCGCGTGTCAGCTTAATGTGTGAGCAAAGCCCGAAGTGATGCAGGTCTCAGACGTTTACCACTTCGGTGAAACCCACGAGCACAGGTATGGTGCTGACAAACCTAGAAACATAATCGGGGCGAACCTGGTTTCGAACCCACAATCATAGGTTTCTAAAGTGTCCAAGGGACACAACTCTGCACAGCGAATCGTGGCACCCTAGACGACTGGGCCACCCGTGCCCCCTGCAAGGTTAGGAAAGGTGTTCAAGACTAACACAAATGTAATAAGTCTGACATAAAGTTATAAACACCTATATGTCTCATCAACATGTTCAAACAAGATGCATTTTGGAAAGTGATGATTATCTGTATTTTTTCTTTTCATTATGTCTATCAACAGAGTAGCATGGAACCAATATTTGTGATCAATGTATTGCCACTGGACCATGCACATTCGTAACGGCTTTTAAACAGATTGATCGTTACAACAAATGTTGAAAGTACTTCTTAACCAAACCAGAAAGATATCAGTAACTGCAAATATGAATTAAAGATGACAATAAATCAATAAATGTTACAAAACAGTGTATTATGGTTCCTTGTATATTGATAGCAAGTTTGACAAATATCGACATAAAAACCCTTTAAACAACACAAAGGCGAGTCCAGGATGTTAAAAAAGGGAGGGTGTTTATATATGATACTAGTACCTAAGTCACACCTATGGTTTGGCCAAGGGCCAGTTATCATGAAAAGTGAGGTTGCACTCCCCATCTGGATCCACCATTTTGCCATGGCTACGAGAATGTTTTGTTAAATACAGTAGCAGTAACTCATTTTGACAATATAAACAATAATTTTGATCAGAACTTAGTGCTTTGAGTAATTTTGAAAGAAATCGCCTATTGAGACGGGTCAGCATCAGAGTCTGTTTCCTGACGCTACAACACCAACACAGCTGACCACAGACTGACCCATGATGCTGGACGTGTCGGTCAGCTTCCACACCATCACCGTCTTGTCATTCGACCCCGACGCCAGCATCTGGCCATCAAACGAAAAGGCACAGCTTGTCACATATCTGAAACAAAAACACTCCCACTGAACCAACACTGATATATTTATTCTGTACACGATTGATACATATTATTAAAAAGATTTCCAAAAAGATCATAAAAGTAAGTTTTCAATGAACTAACGTTAACCCCGTTTCACCTCACATTATTTGAAGAAATCAAATACCATACTTGTGGACAAATCCTGAATTAAGAGCCTCTGTCATTGATTCATTTGAAAACTGTCTTTGTTGATACATTGTTCAATACACATCTACTTCGGCAATGCACTACATTACATGAGTAACACTTTCTGTGATCTGAGCTAATGACCTCAACCGCTGTGGCATGGCTCCTAGTCTGTCACTGTAACATTAGCAAATACAAACAGCTCGTACAATCGGATGTTGTATTCAGGAATAGGCTTAATGAAATTAACAGACAGACAGACGGACAGACACACACACACACACACACATACATATTACAGACTACACTAGATTACAATACAGGGGACACTCTCTACCACAAATCCAGTGATAACATAACTCTAAGTTATCTTACAAGTTGTCACCGTATCATAAGCTACAATAGAAACTTCATCGACCCCGTGAAGATCCAGGTAAGAAGTGGTCTTCAGGAACCCATGCTTGCCGTAAGCAATGGTAAGATGCAACTAACAGGATCAGTTGGTCAGACTCTCTGACTTGGATGATGTATGTCATCGTATCCCACTTGCATAGATTAATGTTGTCTGGTCCAGATTCGGTTATTTACATGCGGTTGTCAGTAAGCTGGAATATTGCTGAGTGTGGCATTAAACCACAAACAAACTGCATCTTGGACATATTTATCATGATTTCCTTAGGGTGTAAATAATTACCTTGCATGTCCTTCTATTGTAAACATGGAAGTTCCTTTGAGCTGGAAACACAAAAACATGAGTTCATAATCACATCCTTGTTCATACCAATGAAGATCCGGTCCATCTTCCTGAGACAAGTTAAATGAGTGCCAAACTAGGCTGGAATTTCTGGGCTCGATTGTAGTGCCACCAGTGGCTATTACAAGTTATGTCATTTCCATGTCCCTCCCATTGACCAATCAGATTCCACCTCTCATACACATGCATTTGCTTCAAACAAAATGGCGGTACCCAGTCTTAGTGTCATAAAAAGTGTATCACATCACATGAGCACCTAGATAAAAACATCAAAAGATTTGGAAAATATCTGTTGATGCCGTGTTGGCTTTACAAATCCAGCAATCGACCAAAATATGCACAGCAGTTGATGAAACAGATGTTGATTTCGTTACGCGATTTTGATTGGACAATGCATAGACTTGTTACTCCAGCCAAAATATAACTCCATAATTCCAGTCTAGTTCGGCAAGGGTGGAAACTGGACTTTTACAATCAGTTAACTCCCTAGCCTCGGGAAGATTGATCTGGTCCAGAGGTGAATATTTCTAGACCACCATGACATAGCTGGAAATGGACTAAACTTTCATAAATGGCTATTTTCAGGTGACCCAAATTCAATCTTAGATCTCAATCTCAAAGTCAAATCCAGAGTTTACACAACATTACACAAAATATCACAAAGTACATACTGACATCTGCTAAATATGTCAGAGCTTTGTTACACACCTATGTGACGATAATGACCTAACTTTTATCATATAAAAATGGGGTTTAACGTCGCGTCCAAGATTATTGCACTTATGTAGTGACATGCATGCACACGTGTGTGTGTGAGTACACTAGACCGGACTGATGCCGAATTTATAGTGCTGGGCCACTGAGATACCATGCCGCAGTTTAACATGAATACCCTACTCAGACACAGTATACTGACTCCGAGCCGACCAGTCCTTGTTTTAGCCCCTTAATGGCCAGCGCCAAACAGGGTAACAACATGTACCCATCAGGGATCGAACCCCAGACCTTCCACTCTCCAGGTGGCCGCTCTACCACTAGACCAAGGAGGCAGTCCTTATCAGATAGTTACTCAGGCCCCAAGTTATGTAGTTGGTGATCAATAGAATCTGCATCCGAACTAAGCACATATTTCAGGACATCAAATAACCATGGCAAGTAAATTACATTTACTTACTGGATTCCACAGACGTATGGTCTTGTCAAAGGACCTGAAAATGTAGTCAATGACACTGTTACAATAGTCATGATAGTATGCTTGTATCATTATACATTGAAACCTTATCCTTTATGCAATGAGCATGAGCCACAGGTGGCCGGCCCAGTTGTCTAGCTGCTGCAATTTGACATCAGAATACATGAGTATGATGTTATCCTGCTTTCAGCAATAATGATAAGACAGCCTCCGTTGAGTAATGTCTGCTCGGATTCCACTTTTTCACTGAGTATGGGTCACAAGAAATGTCTTCACACATTTTACCCATGTGAGAAATCAAACCAGGTACTTGGCATGACAAGCTAAAACCCTCACCACTACCCCACCGTCCCCTTTCCATAGTGAGTGAGTGAGTTGGGTTTAACGACGCTTTTAACCCATTTCTATAAACACACAGGTTGTATTGCGGATCTTTGGACTTCACCTCTGATCATTTGTATTCTGTACATTACTAAAATACAGCATATCAAAGTCCCTTTTATCTGAACATTCTAACATAAGATTACATGTACCAATGACACTTTGACAAGTTGATCAGTTCCCATTTGTGAGTGAGTGAGTGAGTGAGTGAGTGAGTGAGTGAGTGAGTGAGTGAGTGAGTGAGTGAGTGAGTGAGTGAGTGAGTGAGTGAGTGAGTGAGTGAGTGAGTGAGTGGGTCTTCGGCGTGACGAGCGAATGCTTTAACCACTAGGCTACCCGAACGCCCCCATCATGACCATGGACACTTGTTATCTTTATCACTACATGATCACAAATCTGTTAAACTGGATGACTGGGATGCAGTTCAGATACCTACCCAGAAGCCAGGATGTCCCCCCTGGGGGAGAAGGCAATGGCAAGGACAGTGTCTGTGTGGCCGGGCAGTGTGTCTCTCAGCTTCAGCAGCACCACTGGAAATACATCCATTGGTTAGAACTGTCCCCAGCAACCTTTGCATGTTTGTTTGATGTTTAACGCCACACTCAGCAATATTCCAGCTATATGACGCCAGTCTGTATATTAATCGAGTCTGGACCAGACAATTCAGGTATTGACATCATCACATCACCAATCCCATTAGTTGCCACTTACGACAAGCATAGTCGCCTTTTAGGCCAAGTAATTGAAAAAAACAAGCATTCCCCCTCCACCATATCCTCCAGACGACTTTATTAGATCAATCAAATATCCAAGTCTCAGGATTGTAACAGAAATTGGCAATGAATGAAGCAACCATTTTTTACAATAACCACAAAGAAGACCTTAGCCTTTGATAGACCTGCCACCAACACTTTTGTGGTTGGATTTATGAAAATATGCAAATATATTTCATGCCTCAGATCTGACAAAGATACAACATGTTTTACAAACACCTGAATGCTGACATGGACCTTCGACTTAATTTGACCATAAGAAACTCAGTCTCAAAAGGTATATTATTATATTAAGTTCAATAATAAATGCATTCATTTATTTTGAGAAAATGTAATCAAAAACTTATTAGCTCAAAACCGCTCAAAACCTCAACCTTTGACCTTCTCATAGCATGTGGCCTAATAATTCCCAAGGTCCATGAGGAATAATTCCACAGTAGGATATCTTCTATTCAAGAGAAAGATACACATACTTTTCACAATTGCTTTAAATGTGACCTTGACTTTTGACATAGAAGAAAGCATGCCAGCAAAGGTAAACATGACTCAGAAACCGACAATGATATGACCATGTTTTACAAAACCCTTTGACTTTAAACCTGACTTCATTGACCCATACTGGACCCATCCTTATGAGTGAAGGTACATACCAAGTTTAATGATAAATGCCTCAAATCTTTTTAAAGAAATTGTAGCCACAAACCTTTCAGTTTGTCTTTTTCTACTTCATGAACTTTCAGCTTTCATGAGATGCCAAAAGAATTTCCCCATGGCCATTTGGAAGAGGTCCATTGAAAAACAATAGCTAATGTCACCAATAACTGAACAATGGTCACTTTCAAAGAAAACCTTAAAACAGTCTAAATATCATGTCAATCATGACAAACACAAATACTGCAATGGCCATGAAATAACAGCAACTGTTTATACAGTAAGGGTTAGATATTAAGCAAGTGACACGTGTGTCCCTATCTGAAAAATGTCTCCTACTGTGGACAACGGACGTACCTGAGGAACCGATCTGGCCTGTGAACTCCCACAGCTTGACCTGGTCGTCCTTGCCACCTGTGGCCAGCAGGAAGTTAGCAACTTGAGAAGATGTCTTCGCTGAAACATACAAAAAAACAAGCTACAACCTGTGAATACACAGAGTGAAAAGGCAGATAACAAAGTGTCATTTGATTTGGATTATTTATCACAGATATCATGCATAAAGAATTTACAAATTAAGACATCCATCAACCAGCAAGCACCATAAAAGGACCAAAAGCCATTTCATATCATATCATGTTGCTGAAGAAGGACGAAATGCCATTTCATATCATATCATGTCACGACTGGACAAAAAGCCATTTCATATCATGTTGCTGAAGCGGACGAAATGCCATTTCATATCATATCATGTCACGACAGGACCAAATGTCATTTCATATCATATCATGTTGCTGAAGACGGACAAAATGCCATTTTATATCATATCATGTTGCTGAAGAAGGACGAAATGCGTTTTCATATCATGTCACGACAGGACCAAAAGCTATTTCATATCATATTGTGTTGCTGAAGAAGGATGAAATGCCTTTTCATACAATACCATGTCACAAAAGAAGGACCAAACTTCATTTCATATGATATCATGTTGCTAAAGAAGGACCAAAAGTAACTTCATATCATGTCACGACAGAAGGACCAAATGACATGTCATATCATATCATGTCACGACAGAAGGATCAAATGTCATTTCATATCATATCATGTTGCTAAAGAAGGACCAAATGTCATGTCATATCATGTCACGACAGGATCAAATGTCATTTCATATCATATCATGTTGCTAAAGAAGGACCAAATGTCATGTCATATCATGTCATGACAGGACCAAATGTCATTTCATATCATATCATGTTGCTGAAGAAGGACGAAATGCCATTTCATATCATATCATGTCACGACAGGACCAAATGTCATTTCATATCATATCATGTTGCTGAAGACGGACAAAATGCCATTTTATATCATATCATGTTGCTGAAGAAGAACGAAATGCGTTTTCATATCATGTCACGACAGAAGGACCAAAAGCCATTTCATATCATATCATGTTGCTGAAGAAGGACGAAATGCCATTTCATATCATATCATGTCACGACAGGACCAAAAGCCATTTCATATCATATTGTGTTGCTGAAGAAGGATGAAATGCCTTTTCATATCATGTCATGTCACAACAGGACCAAATGTCATTTCATATGATATCATGTTGCTAAAGAAGGACCAAAAGTAACTTCATATCATGTCACGACAGAAGGACCAAATGACATGTCATATCATATCATGTCACGACAGAAGGATCAAATGTCATTTCATATCATATCATGTTGCTAAAGAAGAACCAAATGTCATGTCATATCATGTCACGACAGGATCAAATGTCATTTCATATCATATCATGTTGCTAAAGAAGGACCAAATTTCATATCATTAGGTGTTACTATTGGTCTGGAAATCACTATAGCGATAACTATTGATATTGAAGGAAACTATTGCGATAACTATTGATATTGCAAGCAACTATTGTGATAAATATCGATAGTTTCAGTGTATTATTTTAGATGGATTTTAGGGTTGAATCAAACCTTGGAACTGAAGTTTCTTTTGAATGTGAAAACCATAACAACAAATAAAAAGTAAAGTTTGAGATATGACTGATTTGTTTTTCTTTACCCTAATAATTCAAGAAAAAGAAACTTTCACATTACCATGTGTAAATTACTACTACTCATGATCAAAAGAAAAACATATTTAAAAAGCATTGCATGTATTTTATTGATATGGTAAATACAATTGAAACTATCGATATTCCTAACTGAAATCGATACTATTGATTGGAAACTGATTGAACAATTGATTTATTGACTTTAAGTGCTTACCAATAGCAATATATCGATATTTCGATTTATTGTGACACCCCTTCATATCATATCATATCATGTTGCTAAAAAAGGACCTTATGTAATTTCATATCATATGTCACGATAGAAGGACCAAATGTCATTTCATACAATACCATGTCACAAAAGAAGGGCCAAACATCATTTCATATCAAATCATGTTGCTAAAGAAGGACCAAATGTCATTCCATATCACATCATGTTGCTAAAGAAGGACCAAATGTCATTTCATACAATACCATGATAGAAGGACCAAATGTCATTTCATACAATACCATGTCACAAAAGAAGGACCAAACGTCATTTCATATCATATCATGTCATGATAGAAGGACCAAACGTCATTTCATACAATACCATATCACAAAAGGAGGACCAAACGTCATTTCATATCATATCATGTCAAAAGCTCTACAAATTGTAGTTTTGGGAAAAATGATGTTCAACTTCAAGCCCCGAAGTTGCAACAAATACCTTTGTGATACGAACATTCTTTTCACAAATCTACATTTTGGAGTGGTTTCTCCATTACAGAAATAAAACAACATTGATTGAAATGTGGGAAGATAAAATTATTGGTATTAGAAGGCACCAACCATGACAACGTGAACAATTGACAATAAACAAAAAAGTATGAAACAGATGATATCTCGACATGATAAATAATTACAAATGAATAACAAATAACGACATTGATGCAACGATTGACAGAATACGAAATCAATCATTCCATCTCCCACAGAGAAATACATACTGCTTGCACCAGCTGACAAAACATTCCCTTTTCTGAACAAGGACACATCCCATAGACATGCAAACATAACACTCAATAACAACATGTAGATACACAATGTGCCATCAGAAATAGATGGTACCCACACACTCAATATTTATCTAGCTCTCATATTACTGAGAGTGGTAGGTAATAATCTTCATTATATGACGCTGTTATTGGCCGCTTGAATATCTATTCCTTTTTTATTCCTATTAATTGTTTGAATATCATCAGTGGACAGGCGAGTAGATAGAAAATCATTATTGGCATGTTATACTACCAACAAAAATAAGGGAACAGATGATCTGAATGTAGTTATTGTTGAGGGGTACATTTACAATACTTAGGAGTTGCATCTCAATGCATTATCTAATCACAATGAAATTTCACATTATGCATGAGCAGTCGTGATGCACTTGCACACAGAAGCCAAAGTGGAAGGCCTATAGGGGAACTCACGATCGCAAATACAATTAAGCAAGCACACACTTAAAAATGCCTCTGGAACAGTATAATCTCAAAGAACAGACAGAATTGTTGGTATGACAGATTGTTTGTTTGTTGTTTAACGCCACACTCAGCAATATTCCAGGTATATGACGGCGGTCTGTAAAATAATCGAGTCTGGACCAGACAATCCAGTGATTAATATCATGAGCATCGATCCACACAATTGGGATCGATGACATGCATCAACCAAGTCAGCGAGCATGACCACCCAATCCCTAGTCACCTTTTACGACAAGCATAGTCATCTTTTATGGCATGCATGGGTTGCTGAAGACCTATTCTACTCCGGGAATCTTCACGGGTCTGGTATGATAGAAGTGGGACGTGAATTTCCCAAGTTGCCTCATGTTTGTCAACTATGATAGAAGTGGGACGTGAATTTCCCAAGTTGCCTCATGTTCGGCAAATACAAAACATGCAATTTATCGACTGCAGGACCAAAACCATCAAACAGGTGGGGTTGCAATGCAACCTGTGCATGGCAGGACTTAAAAGACGACACCTAGACAAGATTGTCTCATTACATAAATTGCACTACGATTTCAAGATTCAAATCTGCTCTTGTAATCAGTAGAGAAATCCGTACAATAACACTAAGGCAAATTTCAACATCTAAAAACTGGCTCTATGCAGCCTGCCTGAAAGAAAGGCGTCCTTTGAAGGGTGTGGCCCTAACAGTTTACCATAGGCGGTAAAGATTGGGGTGGGTTAGGCAACACTAACCTGATGAGCTGTGCGCCAATGGCATTACACCATGTTTACAGGTTTTGCCTAGAGACAAGACAGCAAGTCACGACCATGATCGGTATTGGGGCGTTAGTGTCATGGTGTTGGGCGGTATCACACAGAGCAGCGAACTGATTTGGTTATTGTGAAAGAGCATTTGAATGCCAGCAAAATGTTGACAAAATTTCGCATCCTGTCATTGCTCCATTCGCTAGAATTATTGGCAGAAATTTTGACCTGCAAGATGACAATCCTGATCATCACCGATTATCTCTAACAAAAGGCATGCAGACATTGAAGTGGCCCCTAAGTCCTGACACGTCCCAAATAGAGCATCTGTTGGAGGTCCTGTGGCTGAGAGTGCATGCTAGAGACCGAGCACCCGTCAGAGACCCAGCACCCGCCAACGTGGTCCTGCATTGGGTAGCTCTCGAGGAAGAATGGTGGGAAATACTAAGGGCAACCACACGCAAGTTAATCAAAAGTATGCAATTGAGATGTCATGCATGTATTGCCTAACATAGTGGACCCACCAGATATTGATCTACGCAACCAAAATTAATTTTACAGACATATATCATCATTAAACCTTCACTACCATTTCATCAAATCCCCTATTCTTTGTCAGTAGTATATAAATGGAAAAACCTTTGCCTGTGTAAACCTGGTAAATTATCATGTATTAAAAGTTTATGACGACATCATGATTGTTAGTTGATCCTGAGCCACGAATAAAAGTAAAAAAGATGCAACTTTTGGTCATTTGCAAAATTATAGAGAAATTACACATAAACCATACCATGGTTTAAGTCAGAGAAATCACACAAATCTGTTTATTCCGAAAGTAGAATGAAATAGTCCCTTTGGGACACGTTGATTCAAGTTTGGGAATCAACACTAACAGGTTCTTATTATTTCTCCTTTACAAACTGGCTGGGTGTGGAGTCATCCCACAGATTACATCCTTACCTTGTCAGCTTGCTGACAGGGTTAACCTCTTTGGTCATGTGGACAAGGCGTCAGACCTCTGATCAGACGTTCCGTGGTTCAAATCCCATCACGGGACTCAGAAATTTTATGGCCGCTACATTGGCACCCAATGGGGCTGAGCACGTTCATATTAAATTTGAGTAAAATAAGCCTCAGAACCCAAATATGCGCCCCGGGACATGCCTTCTGTTGACTGGGTAGTATGTAGCAGGGCGTGGAGTCATCCCACAGATGACATCCTTACCTTGTCAGCTTGCTGACGGGGTTAACCTCTTTGGTCACGTGGACAAGGTGTCAGACCTCTGATTAGAAGGTCTGTAGTTTGAATCCAATCATGGGACTTGGAAATTTTATGGCCACTAGACATAAAACAAAGGTTGGTCTGTATACCTTTTTTAACATCATTATACTTTCTTTGCATATAAAACAAGGATTGAAAGTGTGTTGCACAGCAACTTAAGCCAACGTGAAGTGGGCACCGCTAAAGAAAATAATGCAAGGCTCGCAAGGTTTCGTCCTGCACAGCTCATCATTATTATGAAGTTACACTGCTCATTGTGTTGAAGAAATATGACATCACAGTCTGCTATAGAAAAGTGCCAAATGTCACTTTGGTCACTAAAACTTGAAATACACTTTCTTTAAATAATCGATTTCTATGGTGTTCTCTGCCTAAAATGGATAGCCACACATACTTTAAATATTGTAGTAACTGCAAATCTTCATTTTGTAACTTATAACTGCATGTATTATTATTTACAAAAATGACTGAGAAAGAACTAAGTGAAATAAAGTTTCCGCTAGATCTCTCTGGTCTAGGCTTGAAAAATAGGAATTTCTAAGGATAGTCTTTAATCATGCTATATCTTCATTAGCTGCCTTACCAATGCATGTACACTGACAGAGAATTGAATAGTGTTGCTTGTTTGTTGTTTAAACACAACACTCAGCAAGAAGACAACAGCTTGTAAATACTCAAATCTGAACCCGACAATCCAGTGATACATATTACAAGCAATGATTCACGCCATTGGATACGATGACACGTAATCAATGAAGTCACTAAGTCTGACCACCCGATCCATTATGTTGCCCTTAACAACAAGCATTGGTTGCTGGGGACCTATTCAACCTGGAATCCCCACAAGACCAGGGTGCCGTTGTACAAAGTGATCTTAGTGCCAAGGTGATAGTAACTCCCATACCTTAACATAGACTTACGACAGTCATAGCGCTAATGTTTTGAACAATGGCATCCAGATTAATAGTGAGCAAGATATCCTATATAAAATGGTTGTTTCAAAGTACTTCTAATGAATAATGTCATTTGTTCAAGGGCAATTAACAGAATAAAATTCTACATTTCTCACAACTGCTGGTTGTGAATTTGACATGGTATTTCAGCACACATTCAACATGCTCAGGAAATTATATGAACATTAAGGTGACAAAAGTTTTGAAAGATTACAGTCACAATTATTCAAATGATGTATCAGCTGAAGAACATGGGGAAGGAAAACTTTTCAATATCTAAAGTAACAAATGCTGCCTCACACTGTCATCCAGTGTGATCAAGTATGATAAAGTGGACAGGCATTGATCACTGGGCAACAATCGTGCCAATAAGAGCCTGTACCACGCATACACTCCTGAATCTAACATGATTTCACATAAGCAATCATGATTTCCATGTAAACAGTGGCACTTAGTAGGATATCTAATTGATGAATGGTCAATTCTTTTTGTTACCATGGTTACAAATGTAACACAATTTCGGTTTCAGCCAAGTGATAACTGCTAATGTAGACAAATAAAGCATATTCAGAACATGTTTAACAATACTCAACTTGACTTTGAGAGGCATTTAGAAGTTGGAGTTTATGTAAGTAAGGATAAGATATATGGATGAACAACTTCTTTATTACAATTAGGAGCAACGTTTCGTTGTAGGTTCTAACATTGTTACTTGCTTGATAACGATGTTAGAACCTACACCGAAACGTCGGTGCTGTTTGCTATTGTGGACAAGTGAAAATGAAAATTAATTTCTAACTATAAAAGTTTATAATCATGATAATAGGAGCAATTTGAAGAATCATTTATAGAGGACTGCCATGACGGTTGCAACATATCAGACAATCTTTGTTTAAAAACAAATTCACAAAGACATTTACACTATAAACATCTTAACTTAACTACACACAGTCAAATCCATACTATAAAGTATATTTTTCACCATTGTTGCCCATGTTATATGCCCACTAGTATCTAAGTATTTTAGTATAATGTAAACCTGGAGTGGTAATCTATATAAGAAATAATATGCAAATGACATCATACCATGGCATACACAAAGAGTAGAAATGTTGTCACATCATTTATCACTGAAAGGATATTGATAAGAAGGGCAAACAATGTTCAAAATGTGAAAACAACAATTCCAAGGCAATGGAAACAGAAAACCCATCAAACCATGTCAAACATGAATCAATATTTGAAAAAAGTGTCTCAGTGTTATTTACATATTTCTCAGGCTGACGCTTCCACAATTCGACATGTAAGACTTAATACACAGTTCAAATCAGGACTGGTTGATTTTCTGTTTGTCTTTGTCTCAGAGCGTCCATCCAAACAAACAATCCAGTTTTTACAGATTATAGAATCACACTTACCAGCTGATCCATATTTCGGAGAGAATTCACAGCAGGTCACGCCAAGGTCATGGCCATCTAGATCATACGCCAGCTCCCGCCCATGTCCAAACTTTGCATCCCACACGCGCAAGTGTCCATCAGTGCCTCCCGACACAACATAGTAGCTGTCTGGTGTGAAGGCACAAGCTGCAACCATCTCGTCATGACCAGAGAAACACCTGCAGAAAACAAACAACCTGGCCATTCATTTCTAGATCTCAGATGTCAAAATGACATCAAAAGAAGCCACATTCGATAGTTTGTTGGACCATCAACCAAATACTTGTGAATAAGCTTTCACAAATGTTAATATTTGTGTAGCTAATCTAATACTGTGTACAATTGTAATAACTTTATTCAAACAACCTTATTAAAATCAGATCTTGGTTCTCGCTATCGCTAAACAAAGATCCGAGGACTTCCGATGAAGTCCCAAGTCAATCAGAGTGTCGCCTACCAGATCAAGAAAGCAACAGTCGGAATGTGTTTTCTAATCTAGCAATTGTAAAAAGGTTAACAACAGTTATTGACTGTATGACTGATTCCATCAAAATCATTGCCTATCTCTCACCTTAATGGGATAAACATTCGAATGCAAGAGAATTTGCATAGCCCATGGCAAATACTGCCATACAATTTGGCAATCTATTCCAGAATGTTCTTTTGTTCAGTTTTCAAATTTTGAATTAATTAAGTGTTCAAAATGTAGCGGCCATAAAATTTCCGAGTCCTGTGATGGGATTTGAACCAAGGAACTTCTGATCAGAGGTCGGACGCCTTGTCCACATGACAAAAGAGGTTAACCCTGTCAGCAAGCTGACAAGGTAAGGATGTCATGTGTGGGATGACTCCACCCCCTGCTACAAAAACATAGTCTGGCATACAAGTCACTAGTTTGAAATTTGCTGTATTGGTTGAGAAAGCTGCTTTCTTAATGGCTAATGTCAACTTATTGTTAGTCATTTCATTAGTCGGTCAAGGTTCATGCAAGGTCGATCTGACATGACCCTCAATAGGATGTCCTCAGGTCTTTGTTCAGCGGGAGTAAGAACTAAGATCTGATTTTAATGAGATTGGTATTCACATGTCATGCATATAGTTGACAGAACACTGACACTGAAACCTTGTGGTTGAAAAGGTTACAGGTATATAGGCATGTTATACAGAATGATCAACATTTTCTGATGCTCCCAGATGTGCACAACTGCTTTCATACATGAAATACATGCACTTGAGACCAACTGTTATATACAAATAGATCCTAAGAAATTGGTACAAATACAATCAGCTACGTTACAAGAGTGACTGTTCCATGGTTTTAAGTTGTAAAAAGTTGGATGGAGAATGGTGAAAAGTTAAGTTTTTGGTTGACAAAATAAATTTCACATAAAACATTGTGAACAGAACTTTTTTCTTCAAAAACTCTTACACCTCAACCATGTCAATGAGATCAACATTGTTCAAATGGCAACATAGTCGAAACAACAATATCACAATTTGCACAGAGTGAGCAAGCTAACACGGACATCACACAGAAAAAACACCTCATTTATTTCATGTCTTATCTTGTTGCATCATGCATATGGAAACAACAGACTGCCACAGATGTCTCTTCTCCTGGAGCATAAACCTACCATAAACCCAGGTCTGTAGTTATCAACAGTTAGGCCTAATTCACTATATTCGGTGTCATTACGTTTTCATACGTGTCATGTCACAATGTCGAGATGTCATACCAAATTGTCAACTGTAGATTTCATAAAGGACTCCATCAGTGGTCAAGATAGATGCAGTATAGACAAATTGTAAAACTAGTCAAATGTGGACGGATTGCAAATTACAACCGAATCAAATTCATGGGCAAACAATACTATACACTCCAATGATAAAAGGTTAGCGTACAAACATCTGAAAGTTCAACACTAGGTCTTTGAAGGATGGCGTCACAAAGTGTGTTGACCAATTTCCAAGCAAATAGGTTGTCATAGCAACCGATTTGGGAAGCCTTTGTCTGAATGAACATTTAATTTCAAAGGCTAATTACCCCGTAGCCTTGACATGTACATGCCTTGAATCTGAGCATCACATCAATGCCCAACGTGGGGCTGAGCATGTTCAAAGCATAATTGAACCAAATAAATCTCAGTACCCTACTCAGGACGTGCCCGTTGATGGGGAAGTATGTAGCAGGACGTTGAGTCTTAGCACAGATGATATTCTTCATTCCATTACGGGACTCAGAAATTTTATGGCTGCATAGGAATGGTACGTAGGTACTTCGGAACAACAAAACGATATGAGAAAGGGTGGGAGGGGATAAAAATACTAATAATTAATTCATCACGGCGCCTTATCAGAATTATTTTTAAAAGCAAGGAGTTAATTACCTGAGGAGTTTGCGAGAAGACACTTCCCAAAGGCACAAGGTATTGTCATCTCCACCAGAAACTATCTTAGAAGAATCGGGGGAGAAGTGACACACACGGATTCCATTTTTACTTGGATGTTGGATGACTCCAACCTGATCCCCAGTCTTAACATCCCACAGTATCAACTTCCCATCGGTCGAACACGAAGCCAGGGTGTTTCCAAACGGTGAAAACACACAACAGTTGACATAATAGGCATGACCTAGAAGAGGTGATGATGGATGCTCCGTGAAGTCTTCAGTGCTCCATATCCGGACAGTCTTGTCTCCGGAACATGTGGCAAGTTTATCATGGGTGAAGGCAACGCAGTTTACATCTGAACTGTGGGAGGTTATCGTATGTAGTAAACTTGCAACCATATTCGCCATAACGTTATTACCTATTCACAAAAGAAACAACATAAGTTAAAATCTTACATTATGTACATATTCATAAATAGGTATTTACAGTAAACTACGTTTATAATGAACACAACTATCACAATACTTTTGCGATAATGAAAATAGCCCCAATAGTCGCCCCTAATCAGTTGTGTATCTACCAACACTAAACATGGTACAACAGATACGTTGCTCCACTAGACATGCTAGATGAGGTCACTGCTAGTAGACAACAATCAGTATCAGTAACCATGATCTCTCTCCCTGTTCAAAAATATGACTCATTGCAAAAATAGAATGTAAGTTGCCTCATTTTGTCCCTGCTTTAACATGCGTAAAAAAATGAATGTCACGGAGCCCTTGTAGTGAGTGAATGAGTGAGTTGGGATTAACGTCGCTTTTAACAGTATTCCAGTTATATCGCGGCGTGTCAGCTTTATGTGGTAGGAAAGCCTGCAGTGATGCAGGTCTCAGACGTTTACCAGTTCGGTGAAACACACGAGCACAGGTATGGTGCTGACAAACCTAGGGCGAACCGGGATTCGAACCCACAATCATTGGTTTCTGGCGTGCCCAAGGGACGCAACTCTGCACAGCGAATCGTGGCACCTTAGATGACTGGGCCACCCATGCCCCCTTGTAGCCCTTGTATGTAAAGAAACTGTAGAAATATTTCTAATTTAACATGCTTCAAGATAATTTAATCTATAACCATGGAACCAGCAACATCTCTGATGCACTGGTCCTGTTGGCTAGATGAAAAAAAAAATAAACCCTGCAAAATATTCGTGCATTCCACTGATTACATAATAAGTATTAATTACAATGGCAAAGTAATCAGTGTAGCCTCAGCAAGCATGGCAACTAGGGCTGGCGATCAATATAGATTATAGAGATCGATAATGGCTAAAGAAATATCGATCAATTGTCAATAAATATCGGAGAAGTAGCTCTAAGCAAACATGCAAGAAAGTCGCCAAAGAAATCAACATATTTTTATGCCACTGGTGAGCGGTGATACATTTATGCATAGATTACTTTGTGGACATTTGATATATATAACAAAAACAGTTGCTTTCCGTCTTTGACAATTGACATTATTGACAATAACAGGCCTCAAAGTTGCGACGAAAACGCTTGCCAATGCAACCTAAATTTCAATGTGTCTACTGTCTAAAATTCAGAGGTAGCCAAATGACTACCTTGAAAAATATCTTGTGGCGACTAAATTCTATTGCTTCACATATGTGGACACAAAAATAAATATGTCTGACAGTAATTGTACTCCCAAATAATTCCTTAAACATGTTAAAAGTCAACAATGAACCGAAATGCATAAATATTTATGTAATTAGTATTTTATCTTAGTTGATAGTTTATTGGATAAGCATGAATATAAATCTAGTAACATAAATTGCATCATTGTTCGAGTCACAAATAACAAAACTCAAGTACAGTTTCCACTAATATACAATTCCAAGACTAATGCTGTGACTTATACATGTAATAGTTATTTGATAAAAAATAATTTCAAATGCCTTTGGCTACCTACAATATTGGCTTGACTTCTTGATTTTACCACTGGCTACCTGGAAAAAAATACTTGTAGCCTAATGGCTACTTAAAACATAAACAAATCAACTGAGATCAAAGTAGACAAAGCTACAAGTTCGCAAATTTCACCTATCTGTATATATCTAGTCAAAGAAAGACTTTCATTCTTCTACGTATTCAATAGTTCCACCTTTTCGATATATGAAGTCCCTGACTCACCCCTACATTGTCTGATGGCAGCCAGGGAAAGAATACCATGTTGTCTTAACGTACAGTTATAAAGAATATAGTATTTGAATATTCCATTACCATGATAACTTGTAAATTATGTAAGGAACAAAGTTCAAACCTGGTGCTAGTCGTTATAATTCCAGTCACACAATACCCGACTCTGTATATATCTTTCTTGTGTAGACCAAGACCCTTTCGTTAAAACCTCAATCCATCAGTAAAGAAACTTCGCACAGAGTCCATTCAAAACAAGGATATTATTCCCAATTCCATTTTAAACTGTCTATGGCATCCGTCAGACTCTCACCACTGTGGTAATATCGGTAAGGATCTAGCCTAGGTCTGCTATGATCAGCGTTACTTGACTATTGATTTTCTGAGAAGTGTAAGATTCGATCAAGCTTAGGCTTTATTGGAACCTCAGTACCCTGTTACAGTCGTCACTGGTCGAATTCCGCACCGACTTTACTGTGTTATAAGCCGATATCACGTACAGGAACGCGAGCGGCTGCTGGGGAGAGTGCCCAGCGAGCTGTACGATGTCAACACACAAAATCACATTCAATAAACATGTTAACATGTCGCTTTCGCAGAAATCTTAAGTCAGTATAAAAGATGACTTAGTCTACTTATACTCTTTCCGAGTGTACTCATATGATTGTCATGTCCTGACTAATATTTGTGGCCATAAAAATAAACATTTTTATATTACCTTTCCGCGTTTGTTAGATTGCGTCGGCCATCTTGTTTGTCAAGGTCATGTGATCATTAGGTCACATGACTATTTCACAATCCCGCTGGCAATATGCAGCGCACATAACAGATTACAGAACCACGATTAAATAGCCAGTTCGTGGCCGTGCATAACAGAAAACCTGCATTTGGGCTTTGCGGTTCTCGTTTTGTAACACAAATAATGGAACAAGAATGTCTATATATAGCTCACATGTTTAGACTCCCTTGTGAAAACAGAAGGTAAGATTTTGAGTGAGTGAGTGAGTGAGTAAATATTGATGTTGAAGTGTGACACAGGCCATAGTCAAGTACAGTGTCTGATATATTGGTGTCAACAAGGTAACCCATTATAAACACCTTCTACACTTAAAAAAAAAGTTTAGTCGAGAGTTTATAGAAACTATTAAAGTAAGAATTCCTTAAATGAGAGGCGCGGACGTACTTTTTTAAAAGGGATGAAGGGTGTACAACTTCTACACACAGGTGCAAAAAAAACATTATAAATACTCGAGGAATGCAAATAATTTATTTAGGAAATAATTAGAATTTGTAAGCCAAACAATAGTAAATTATTGTTGCTTTAGTTGAAAACGTCACCAAATGAGTCAGTAATATGTTTTTATACGCTAAAATGATTAGTATGCGTGAAACAGGCGAGATGCGCACCCCGGCGCCCCCTCTGTATCCTGCTGTTTCCGTCTATGAGTGAAATGTAAGGAACCCAGTCTTTGGATAATATCAAAAATATTTCTTGCAACTGAGACGTCTCAGACCTGGCACGTGATGTGTGGTGTATTTCCTGCCACGAAAAAGGCGTGTGTAAACATGACCATAGTATAAAATATGGTATGCTGCGTCTTCGTTTTCCAAAATATACGTGACAAATTTAACATACTGTAATTTGTATATTGAATATGTTGATTACAATTTTATTGTGGATCTGATATTTGCAAACCGTCAATAACGATTTGTTATACACATACATACATATATATCACCATTTTTCCACGTATACGCGCATCAAACAAGGGCTGGACCCTAGATATGACAATCCTCCAAGGAGCATCAGATACCTCGTCTGACTTTTGTGTCGACTTGAAGATACTATATGTACTATTTTGTTTGTTTGTTTATTTGTTGTTGTTTAACGCCGAACTCAGCAATATTCCAGCTATATGACGTCCGTCTGTATATTAATCGAGTCTGGGCCAGACAATCCATGCAGGCATTGACATCATGAGCATCGATCCACGCAATTTGGATACGATGACATCCATCAACCAAGTCAGCGAGTCTGACCACCCGATCCCGTTAGTCGCTTCTTACGACAAGCATAGTAGCCTTTCACGGCAATCATGGGTTGCTGAAGACCTATTCTACCCCGGATCTTCATGGGTCGCCTATGATGTAGTACATGAGTCATATAGCAAATATATATTGTCACACCCCTCTTAACCATATACACGCTCTTGAAATAAAACACACTAGAAATCATATCTCTCCATGTGCCCCGCCCTTCCCCGCCCACCCACCCAGACTCTGACATATACACACAGAGGCTCTCTCTCTCTCTCTCTCTCTCTCTCTCTCTCTCTCTCTCTCTCTCTCTCTCTCTGGAAGTGATAGAAAATATCCATCAACTGTCTGATATTCTGAATCAGGCTACATCTATCTGACAAAGAGGCTATACTTACCTGACTTTTTAACGCCGAGTTCTCACCCAGGCAGCCGGCCGTGCGCGGCAATGGTGCTGCAAATGATCCACCGAACCAATAACTCGGCGATATATGACGACTTAACACAAACAATGATAAACGAGGTCCCTCGCGATTTTCCGGTCCAATTTCGACGCTGAAACCCAAGGCCGCCCAAGAGTGCAAAATCCAGTTTGGTCCATTTCACACAATGTACATTTCTGTCGGCATATGTGGATAACGAAGCTTCCTAGGTTCGATTCATTTTGTATCTGACACTGACAACCTCCTCATCTGACGCCGTCAATCTTCTCATCTAACGTTGTTAGCCTTCTCTTATTTAATCCCAAGTTTGAATATGTCAGCTTTATCGACCATCAGACAACCCTCGTCAAAGGCGCAGCATGGGCGTCGGCGTTGCTGTAAACAAATCAGTCACGTGGTGTGTTCTATTTTGGTGCTGAAAGATGCTCGTCGAATCGCATCCCATGTATAATAAATTCGGTTTAAATACTGAATGGTTTATTACCACCATCAACCCATTTGTTATGAAAGCTTAAACTTCCGTTTCAAATCGCCTAATCAGAATATTTTTGTTTTGAAAAGATGAACTATTTGTTAGACTTAAATATGATAAAGCTGTAAAATGGCTAACTACCATATAAGGCAACCGTGAAGATCCGAGTTCGAATTTGTCAAGAATAGGTGAAGATCCGAGTTAATATTGCTGGCTTGTCATAAGAGGCAACTAACGGTATCGGGTGGTCAGGCTCGCTGACGTCGTTATCGTATCCCATTTGCTTGGATCGATGCTCATGATATCAATCACTGGATTGTCTGATCCAGACTCGATTATTTTACGTCATATAGCTGGAATATTGCGGAGTGCGGCGTTAATCAACAAACAAACAAACAAAGCTTATATAAGAAGAACAGTTCCGATAGGTCTTGTCGAGGTATGCACATATCATGGTCAACTCAGTTAACGCTAAAATGTTACAAAGACCTTTTATCAGTTCTTCAGCAAATGTTCTTATTCTGAAGAGTGTATACATAGTGGATATCACATGAGTGACTGCATGTTGTTTAACGCCACAGCCAGCAATATTCAAGCCGGCCTGTATATGATAGAGTACGGACGAAATAAACCAGTGATTGAAAGCATGAACAACGCTACACGCCGAACCATCGGGAGACGATGAAAGTTATTTAACAAAGTCATCACCGGTCCTGACAATCCGAAACATATTATAGTAACTTCTTCTTCCCTGACTAGTTTCAAGGTTCGAGGGGAGCACGGGTGGCCCAGTCGTCTAAGGCGCCGCGACTCGCTGTGTTGAGTTGCGTCCCTTGGGCACGCTAGAAATCTATGATTGTGGGTTCGAACCCCGGTTCGCCCCGATTATGTTTCTAGGTTTGTCAGCACCATACCCGTGCTCGTGGGTTTCACCAAACTGGTAAACGTCTGAGACCTGCATCACTTCGGGCTTTCCTCCCACATTAAGCTGACACGCCGTGATGTAACTGGAATACTGTTAAAAGCGGCGTTAAACCCAACTCACTCACTCACTCAATTCAAGGTTCCAACACAGTGATGCGACCTGCCTACAAAAGGTCCACAAGCGTCTGTTGCGCCGGTGACGGATTTTATGTGGTGATTGAACAGTAATTTCTTATTTGTACCAGGTAGACCTGACCTAAATGTTACTTAAATACGTTTGACTTTTCGCCCTGGCTTTCCTTCGCGAAACCCCGTTTCACAAAGCGACCCGTGAAGATCCGGGTAGAGAAAAGGTCTTCAGCAACCTATGCTTACCGTTACAGGCGACTATGCTTGTCGTAAGAGGCGACTAACGGGATCGGGTGTTCGCTGACCTGGTCATCGTATCCCTATTGCGTAGATCGATGCTCATGATGTCAATCAGTGGATTGTCTGGTTAAGACTCGATTATTTACAGTCCGCCGTCATAGAGCTTGATTATTGCTGAGTGCGGCGTTCAACAACAAACAAACTTTAACACGCACTGAAACAGTCGTAGATCGCTCTGTGGAACGGAATCAAAGACAAATCTTTCAGTCATTCCTTACCCAAAAATATAGTCACAGACAAATGAAACGCGAATACCATAGATGTTGGTTAATAAAGAATTACTCATATTTAAGAGATATTAGATTGGTTTGACACACAAACGAAAATACTGGAATGTTGTGTGAATCGATGCACATGAATGCATCACATGTGACGTCATAGACCCGTGACTCGAGATGCGCCATTTGTCTCGTGCAGGATTAGCGTGTAAAGTTTGGAAAACATGTGCAGCATATCGTGATAAGAGTAAAAAACTGTGGTAACACTTGACTGATTGTTAGTTTTGTAATTAAGTGGGACACATTGGAAACATCTCCCTTCTTAACGTACATACTCCTCTATATATTTCTAGACCGCCTCCGTGGTCTCGTGGTAGAGCGTCCGCCCGGAGAGCGGAAGGTCCGGGTTCGATCCCCGGCCGCGTCATACCAAAAGACGTTAAAAGATGGTACTTGTTGTTACCCTGTCTGGCGCCCGGCATTAAGGGGCTAAAACAATGACTGGTCGGCTCGGAGTCAGTATACTGTGTCTGAGTGGGGTAATCATGTTAAACTGCAGCATGGTACCTCAGTGAGCTAGCACTATAAATCGGCATCAGTCCGGACTAGTACAAGCAGCCACACAAACACACACATGTACATGCACGTCGCTATATAAATGCAATAATCTTGGCCGCGACGTTAACCCCATTTCACCTCACCTCACCTATACATTTCTAACCTAAATGAAAGCAAGATTTGTAGTTTATGTGATGACTATACACTGAAACTCTTCTCAAACACGGTGTCAATTCACACTGGCCTTCGTCACTTCTATTGATTTGACAATGACGGTCATCCTTTTACTGACCCTAAGGCATCAAGGCAAATAGTGATTACACCGGAAATGACTCGTCTCCACTTGGAGACACATCCAAGCCAATACGCTCGAACTCATTATATTGGATAAACCAACTCGTGTCTTAGCTATAATTACCTGATCTTTCTCTTTTGGCAGCCACGTTGTTGACAAGACCCAGGGGAATTATTCCATTCAAGCAGGCCTCTAGTTTGAAAACAAAATATTTCTTCCCAATAGAAAGGTTCCCGGCTTCTTATTGTTCTCGGCGTAACGGGCTGCCTGGTTCCCGATAAACGTGGGAAGGAAGGGCAGAATGTGCCTGTGTCGGAGCGAGGAACGACGGACGACACCAGAAATGGGCTTCACTCATTGTACCCATGTGGGGAAAAACTCTGTCATTCGGTGTGACGAGTGAACTCTTTAAACACTAGGCTACTCTACTGACCCGTGGGAGAATCAACAACCTGTTGACAGTCTTTGGAATGCAATAGGTGTCAGATTCTGGTTTCTTTGTTTGTTTGTTGTTTAACAACGCGCTCATCAATATTCCAGCTATATGACGGTGTCTGAAAATGATCGAGTCTGGATCAGACAATCCAGTGATTGATATCATGAACACCGATCTACGCACTGGGATACAATGGCATGCATCAACCAAGTCAGCGAGTCTGACCACCCTATCCCGTTAGTCGCCTCTTCCGCCAAGCATGGCCGCCTGTTACGGCAAGCATGGGTTCGTCGGATCTTCACGGGTCTCAGATTCTGGTGGTAAAGATACTTTGTTGATTAAAGTGAGTGAATGCTTTTTGCAGTATTCCAGCTTGGGACATCTGAAATGGGCTTTACTCATTGTTCCCATAAGGAGAACGAACGTGCCAGCGTGACGAGTGAGCCTGAATGTTATTTGTTTGTTTGCCTGTTGTTTAACGCCGCACTCAGCAATAGTCCAGCTATATGACGTCGGTCTGTAAATAATCGAGTGTGGCCCAGGCAATCCAGGCACTGACATCATGAGCATCGATCTATGAAATTGGGATACGATGACATGCGTCAACCAGGTCAGCGAGCCTGACCACCCGATCCCGTTGGTCGCGTCTTACGACAAGCATGGGTTGCTGAAGACTGGACTGATTGTAAGCCTGATACACCTGGATGTACAGGAAGAACCCTACTCCTTTGGGATTCTTGGTCAGAAATGTGGATTGGGTGGCTAGGCTCTGTGGCATGGTGGATTTCGTGTCATCGTATCCCTACGGCTTGGGTCGTTGACCATGCTACACATCGGCGGCCTTGTCCTGACGTAGGTTCAGGTCCTTCTGTAGGTCCTTGTTTTTGGGTTTTTTTATGTTTTGCTACGCAGTATTCCGTCTATACGACAGCGTTGAAATAATCGAGTCTAACCAGGAAAAAACACAATTAATGATGTTATGAACAACGTCGAACGCCGTCGGAGTACACTATCCAATTCACCCCGTAAGACAAGCATAGATCTTTAGTCGGATTGAAACCATTATAATTCAAAATAAACATAATCAATAAACGGGGAAAGTGATGACGCGTGGAAAAGATTTCTGGATCACAAATAGTTCAAAGAATCTGAGTGAGTGAGTTTGGTTTAACGCCGCTTTTAACAGTATTCCAGTTATATCACGGCGTGTCAGCTTAATGTTGTAGGAAAGCCCGAAGTGATGCATGTCGTTTACCACTTCGGTGAAACCCACGAGCACGGGTATATGTTGCTGACAAACCTAGAAACATAATTGGGGCGAACCGGGAATCGAACCCACAATCATAGGTTTCTGGCGTGCCCAGCGAATCTGCACAATCCAATCCAATCCTCACACTCTCACACAAACACCTTCCCCTCCCAATCATAAATAAATGGTAGGACCCAAAGTGTATGCAGTGAATAAGATTGACGGACTTAGTTGGTTTTAAAGCCACTTTTAACAGTATTCTAGTGATATCCCTGCGTGTCAGCTGAATGTGGGAGCAAATCCCGAAGTGATGCAGGTCTTAGATGTTTACCACAATGAATAATAAAAACACACAGAACACACACCACAGCAGTCTACTACATGCTCTTACACAAAGATCGTTAAGTGTTCAGGAGTACATGCACATCCCGACAATTGTCCTCCAGATATTAATTTCATAAAGATATGTCAAGTACGTGCATGTCATGCGACATGTTTGTACAGTAGTCCAATACATTTATTGTCGCCATTAAATAGTGCGTATGTGAAAACAGAAGGTAAACCAGAACTGAATTGGAAAAATCAAAGTTGCAAACAAATGTAAAGCTGTTTGTTTGTTTTTTTGTTAGGCGTTTAACGTCGTAATCAGCAGTAGTCAAGTCTGTAACGACAGGTCTGTAAATAATCCAGTCTGGACCAGACAAACCAGTGATTATGAGCATCCTTCCACGCTGTACCCACGGAGTAAAA